TCAATAACATGTCGACATGTGCTAGCGTTAACCCCCGCTAGCAGGGTCAGTAATAACATAACCACATCGGAGACAAAACAGGCAAAAGTTAACAGGAAAATCACGATTCACAATCACTTTCAGATCATCAGGACAGTCACTCAAATTTCAAGTAGGCATGCTCAATTTCATGAAAAGCATAAAAATATCATTTCAAATCAGTTATACTCGTGTAAAACGGGTTTAGTCCCACCACCACTTCAAAAACAAATCAAAATATGCTTTTAAAACAGTACGGGCATTACCATAAATTTACTTACCTCACTTGCATAAAACCGAGCACTCAATTCACGTACTAACTGACAGAACGATCGGGAACCTAATCAAAATACCTCAGAATTAATACCGGACTATCACACATTCAAGCTGAAATCATCATTAGGATCATTCCTAATCACAATGCTATTTCCATAAATCTCCACATGATCAAATATCCCCAAAATCGTTCTCATATCACAAACTAATCATTTAAATTCCCGTTAAATGTTGGCCCTCGGGGTGTGAACAGTGTTATGTGGACAGTGTCGTGAACAGTATCCGTGAACAGTACCCCGACGTAAACAGTAATTCCACTTCCACAATTGGCCAAAACACAAGCTAATCTCACGGGATTTTCTCTCCAAAAATCACAACAATCAATTAACACTCAATCACATAATTCTCACTTGAATTAAGCTAAATCATGGTCTAATCACTATCAATTTTCTCCCCTAATTAATCCAGAATGTCAGACACAAAGGCAGCAATTAAATGGCTAAACTTGCACTTAGAGAAGCTGCCACATACCATAATTCTCCAGCTGTAGAAACCGGAGCTGCAGGGGGGAAGAGGCCGGCGGCAGTGCAGGGGAGAAACTCACGGATCTACCCAAAATTGGAGGAACAAGAGCAATCAAAGTTAACCCAAGCCAATTCAAGCAAGAACAAAGGAATTAATGGCTGATCTTACCGGAAAATCAAAGCAATCCGCCCCCACAAAGCAGGAGCAGCCGGCGGAAGGACAAAGCAGAGCAGGGCAGATCCGGCTTTTCCAGCAGGGGGGGGAAGATTTCTGGGTTCTAGGTGTGTTCTAGAGCAAGAAAGGAAGGGGAAAATACCAAGCTTCCTTACCAATTTTCCAAGGCATGGCTGGGTTCTTTTTCTTTTTTTGTTCGGCTGTAGGGGGGGTCGGGAAGAGCAGAACACACGGGCTGGAAGAAGAAAAGAAGGAAAGAAAAAGATAAAGAAAAGAAGTCATCCTTATCCAAAATCTTTCCCTCTTTAAGTCCCTCAACTTTCAGAATATTCACATTAGACCCCAAAACAATCTTTTCTCACAATCAAGTCCTTAACTTACACTTAAATATTCCCGAAAATTTGGGATATTACATCCACCCCTCCTAAAAAGGAGTTTTGTCCCCAAAACTCGAATTGGGGATCATTTCGAGTGGTGAATCGCTTCACACAATCCAAGACAAAACAAATGCCTCATCACTTTCTAGGAACAGAACACGGCTTACTATGCTTCCGCTGCGCCACTCTAATAACAAACCACAACTAATCCTAAAAGCAGAACACTAATTACTTAACAGGATTTACCATGAAATGAGCTACTAGAGGCTGGGGTGATATGGGAAGCACAACGAATAAAATAAATCCTGCCAAAGCCACAAAAGAACAATTGTGGGGTTACGCTTCGAACCCATCACAAGACGAGTTGGCAAAGAATGGCATGGATTTAAAGACAAGTACAACAAAACTTTAAACTCTATCAAAGACGGATAAGCATCCAAGGGATATATGGATCAAGAATGAATGAACAAGTGCATGGATGCCTTACAAATTCTGCCACAAAACAAGGTTAACCAAAACCAAGATCATGTTTAACAAAGCAACTAGAATCAAGAAACAAATTTTAGCAATTAACAAGAGTTAAAAGCTAAGACCATCAAAAGACATGTAAGAATCTCAAGAATTGCAACAGAATAAAATCAATGGAAAATATGAAGGCTTGGAAGAATACTGAAACATAAGAGTGCAAGGTAGAATGCCTCAAAAAATCAACAAAAAAACGGCATTCACCAAGAATCAAGATCAAATTTAACCAAGCAATCAAAATTGAGAGACAAGAGTTAACCATGAAACAAGCAATAGAATTCCAAAAATCAGGCCCACAAAAGAGATTTCAATAATGACAATGAGAACAAGAATTCAAGAGCAGATATAATCAGGAGATCAAGATCTAGCACCTCAAGTACTAGAATTAATTAACAGAACAAAGCAATGGCTGGGATCAAGATGCTGAGAAGATTACTGTCTTCTAATTAAAAGGGCAAACAAAAATCAAGGCAGCCAGATCAAAGAATCATTTCACTTGGAACAGAACTCTAGGGCATCAAGTATTTCAAAGACTACCCCTTCACCTCGTAGCTCATGGAGGCGAGGCTAAGCAGATTTTCAATCAGGTCATCCTAGAGTCAAGTCAAAGCTAAGGCATCAAGAATACAGAGAGTAACACTTGCAAGAGACAAAAAATCAAGATGTCTCATATAGGTATTTTCGTCACCCCTCCTAAAGAGGTGTCCATATGAACAAAAATCAAGATCAAGAGGATCAACAGGTATACTGACACGAACTAGCAGAATATACAGGATTTGGGCAAGGGCAGTATATAGAATTTGAGCAAGAACCAATGTCAGAACAAGAATGATTTTCAAGGAGAACTCAAAATAGATTCCAAGAACAGTGCAAGAATTAACTTCAGACAAGTGTCAAGATAATGAGGATTTCAATAATCATTATCCATTTCTGGATTCCAGTTTCAAGAACAAGTACAAAACAATATCAAGAAAGATTCAAGACAGATTCCAAGAGTTTCAAGCAGTTTCCAAGTATCAAGAATGTAGAGATTGGCAACAATAGAGAGTTTAACTTTATGACAGCTTGCCAATCTTCATAAAAATATGACAATTTCAATTGAATGATCACTGCTCTTGATTAACCAATATAGAAAAAATTGAGCCACACGAAAAGACCACGAAGCTCCAAATAGAAAAAGTGAAACTTCACTATAACACTTTCAGAAGATAAGGAGCAACGGGATTACCAAGTTATCCAGCTCCTAAAACGCAGCTAGAAAACACACATCATTTGCTAAAATAGCCTGGAATCTCTTACAAA